GGCTCTGAAATTTGTTCCTAAGAGAAAACATACTGGTTATTTGGAAATTTCTCAGCATTCTCAAGCATTTGTCAACAGATTGAAAAAGGCAAAGAGTTTTAAATCTTTTCCAAAAGGTTCATATGTGCACAAAGAAAAGGTAGCTTGAATAAGAAAATTTATTAGCTTAAAAATTGAGTGGAAATATAGTTTTATTAGTGTTTCTTCCTGAATGGAATTCCTTTCCCTTTCTTTAAAAGGCAATTTGTTCAAACTAACTGCAAGGTTTCATCTATTCCTAGTTACTTAAAATCTGTAAAACCTTGAAAATATATTTCATATTACCATAAAAAGAAAATCAGAGAAGGTTGTTTGGGTGTGTTAAACAAAATCTTGAAGTGAACCCAATAAAACTGTTGTACTGTTGGTGTGACTTTTTTATGGATCGAGCCTCATATTTTCTTTTACTTGATAAATATTCCATATCAGCAACCATTCTTTCATGAAAAACAGGTTTTAAAAAAGGTTTCTAAACGTCAGGTGGGGGTTCACTTACTAAATTCAAAATTGGCACAATGCTAGGCATGCCATAGGCACTAAGATATAGTGCTTAACTGAATCTTAACAAAGGCTGAGACATCCTTGGGCATGTCCTTTTTTTATTTATTTATATTTGGTGCTACTGAAAATGGAACCCAGTGCCTCACACATGCTAGGCAAGCACTCTACTGAGCTACAGCCCCAGTCCCCTGGATGTGTCTTGTGATTTGACTCTTCTTTGAAAAACTAGTTTGTGGAGATAAAACTAATTTCTGTCCTATAAGGAATAAGAGGTTTTATTTGTTTAAGGTTGCATAGTACTTTGCCTGCTGTAGTATTGATGGCTTTTCTTTTCTAGGAAATATTGTTTCTCCAGCTACATGGTTTGAATGGAAATTGCCATATTTTACAGACATGGCTCCCCTGGTCACTGCGGTTATTCCAAAAGAAACACCTCATTCAAGCTGGGCTTTCCATAGTATTCAACCTACCTTGGGCAACATCAGTCTAGGGATGAGCATCTGACTTTCAAGATAGGCCAGTCATAACTTTTCCAGGATTTCTGGATTTGAGGTGGTAGAGTTTGATAGACAGCAAGCTCTGGAATTGCTGGTAACCATACCTTTTATTATGGCATAAGCCAATCTATAGTGATTATATACAGAAACAAGACCAATTTCTGGAGCCGTTCAAATCCCTGGTTCCAGCTGTTCCTGATGTCCAGTTATAATTTGCTCCTTGTTGCTTAAACCTCAAGGAATACCATGGCATGCTTTTAATAAATTGCACCCCCCCCTTTTTTTTTTTTTTTTTGCCTAAGCCAACTGAGTTGGATTTGTACTCCTTGCTACCAAATAAGTCCTAATGTACTTGGGGAAAATATATACTTATTTCCTAAGAAATTAACTTTAGGAARGATATTCACTGTAGGCTACCTGCACCATTAAAAATTCTGAAAAATGGGTAATGGAAATAATATTAAGGCTAAATGAAACTATTTCTCCCTAGTTTCTGAGTTCAAAATTAGCATGAGATAATTATGTTGAATACATTTCCAAAATAGGATCTAATCTACTAAGTAGTGTACTACCAGCTTAATGCCAAACAGCTTAGTATGCCATTTGCATGAATTATTTAAACAACTAAGTTGTACATACTATCATTAACACATTTTTTACAAATAATAAAAATAATTTAGCTTTCAAATGTAGACTCATTTGTCTAACTTTAGAGTCCCACCTTTAAATTTATTATATAACCCACATTGTGGGATCAAGAAAGGCCTTGAGAAAGTAATATGCAAACTCAGACCTGACAATGAGAAGTTTGCTAAGAATTCCAACTGTTAGTCCCTATTAAAAGGCAAGTTATTGCTAGGTGCAGAGGCTGAGGCAGGAGGATCTCCTGTTCAAAAGCCAACCTCAGCAAAAGTGAAACTCAATGAGACTCTGTCTTTAAATAAAAGAAAATAGGGCTGGGGATGTGGCTCAGTGGTTGAATGCCCTCGAATCTAATCACCCCAATGCTTACTTTTAAGAAACACACTGAAGGAAGTATTAAAAAATAAGTAAATAAATAAAAGGCAAGTTCCTGAACTGCCTGAGATACATTCAAGAAAAAAAAAAAAAAAAGTACTGTAGGGGTTAAAAATAAGGGATTAAAACTGCCTGGCAGCATTGGGGCTAGAATGAAGTTGCATTTTGTTGTAGTTCTCTGCCTGAATTGTACATTTAGCGCAACTTTTTTTTTTGTGGGGGGGGTGAGGTGGGGGGCATTCCACCATTAAGCCACATCCCCAGCCCTATTTTGTATTTTTTTTAGAGACAGGGTCTTACTGAATTGTTTAGTGCCTCGCTTTTGCTGAGGTTGGCTTTGAACTCCTGCCTCAGCCTGTGGAGCTGCGGGGATTACAGGCATGTGCAACCATGCCCGGCTTAGCTCCACTTCTTAACTAGCTTTTTCCATATCCCAGTTTCCTTGTCCATAAATGATAGTAAGCACAAATTAGGATTGTAATTATTTAATGTACGTAGTTTCATGTTAAATACCTACATACAGTAAATATGAATAAATGTATAGCTGTAACCTTATAAATTACACATCTAAGTTAAAATAATAATTGTTCATATTATCTGCAATTTTCAGCTTTTTAAAACCATCATTTGAATGATTCTTTAGAGGTTTTAAACAAGCTACCATTAAGCAAGCCGCACCCTGACTGCCAGCATGTTGTTAATTTTACWTCCATTATCTCACATTATACTCAGTAATCCTAGAAGCATTTTTTATAGTTAAAATATATTTAGAAACATGATCAATCAAACCTAAACAATTAGCTAATGGCAGAATCAGAACTTAAATCCAGTTTTGTGTGATGCAAAATTACTGTCTTTGCTTTGCACTAAACTACTATTTCATACTATTTCATTCCTTAACCCATTTGAAGTGAATTACTGAAACCTGCTTTTTTTTTTCTTTTTTTTTTTTTCAGTTAGTATTTAACAACAGTGATATGTTTCCTGGGGGAAACTGTGTTGAGCAAGATAGGCATAATTTGACCTCTTGGGAATGATGGATGAATGGATTACAATTCTTCATCCTTCTATAGTGAGAGTATAAATGATTACCTTGCAAAGATCACATGTACGAAAGATGAAACAAACACAAGTACTCTTAAGTTTTTGATCACTTCTACATATAAAGATAAATAGTAGACCAGGGACTTAAATTTTGATTATAAAGTCACCGAACTATCCTATATATTTTTTTTTTCTTTCGTACTGGGGATTTAACCCAGGAGTGCTTTACCATGAGTCATATCCCCAGTCCCGCTCCCTTTTTTGAGACAGGGTCTCACTAAATTGCTAAATCTAGCCTTGAAATGTAATCCTGCCTCAGCCTCCCACCTAGCTGGGATTACAGACCTCTGCCACTGCAAACTGCCCTATTTCTGTTTCCCCATCCCCAGACTTGAAGCCTGAAGTCATCCATCCACAATACTGAGCACCTCTTATACATGAAATGTCTTGTACAAAGTTGTGAAAAAAGTTTTTTTTTTGATGGTTATCTGTTGTCAATGAATTCCTTTTTTCTTCATGCTGGGGCTGGACCTCTGGTTGTTGGTCATGTGTGTGCTAAGGTCACATACTACCACTGAAACATAATGTCGGACCTAAGGAATTTTTGAACCATTTAAAGACAATGCTTGCTTTTTTTTTTTTTTTTAATGATGCTGGGGATTGAACCCAGGGCCTTATTATGAGAAGTAAGCACTCTAGCAACTGAGCTATATCCCCAGCCCCAACACTTTTAAGAAACACACTGAGGGAAGTATAAAGTGAACAAAGAATGGCATATATAAATTATCTAATTTGATCCCCATAACCACCCTTTGAAGAAGCACTATTATTGTATTTTATGGAAAAACAAAGGCAAGTCTGGACAATAAGCAACTCTCATAGTTACCTAACCGGAGAAGGGCAGATCAGATTTTAGAGATTGTTTTTCCTTGACGCTTGCCTCATGGCTGTAATCCCAGGGACAGGGTAAGTGGAGGCACATAAAAAGTTCGAGGCCAGCCTCAGGAATTTGGCTACACCTGATACACCAAATAAAAAGGACCAAGGATGTGCTCAGTGGTAAAGATCCAATCCTCGGTACAAAAACAAGACAAAACAACAACAAAAACCCTTTGTTCTGTAACACTGACTACATATATTGTAAGGTAAACTCTGAAACTCCAGTTCCCTACCTAAGCAAGTAATTGACCCCATTTGGCTAAAGGACAGGATAAATTAGAGAAAACGGGACGAGGAGGCCACGTGTAACGTATGTGCTTCATTCTGCAGAACTTAAAACTCCACTAAAGGTTTCTAAGTAATGCAGAAATTACGGTAATCTTAATTTGATGGAGAAACTGCAGCCTTTGGAAAAAAATGTTTTTTTATCACTTCGGTACACGACCTTGGACAAATTATTCTCAGCTTTAACTCAGAAAATTAAGATAATTCCGCATTGGATTATAGTGAGGACTAAACCATAGTGTATGTCTAACACTAGAGGGTGCTCGATAAATGTTGGTTTTCCCTTAGAGAAAATACAGRTCTCTTTGCCTCCCCACCCTGCCTCCACCTTTCCTGGGCACATGTGACCAGGAAAGCCAGAAAGACCCTGCCAGCTTCAACTGCAAGCACATCTGCAAAAGCAGAAACCTTCTAAGGCTCCGCCAACGTCTCCAGGGTTACGTTCTCACATCCCATCACTTCTYCGGATCTGCCACTGATGTGCCTCTCCCTACCCAGTCCGATGCATAGAACGCCAATCCCAGCGCTCCTCTTTCCCCTCCCTTTCTTCAGAGGCAATCACTCGATGACGTCACATCCGCTTGTCTTGGGCGGTCCCTCTTTTCACTCATCTGGGCCTCTCTAGTCAGCGACCTCTCCAGATGGCTCTAAAGCTCAATGGTTGCTGGGCGGGGCCGTGACGTCCTTGGCGTAGCTGCAGGGGAGGCCGCGGCGGGGAAAATGGCGGACGGGAAGGCGGGAGAGGAGAAGCCTGAAAAGCCGCAGCGAGTTGGAGCCGCCGGAGGTGAACACAACCCCAGCGTCGCGGGATGTGTGGGATGCTCTGGGCCTTTCGTTGAGCTCCCCGGGGTGGGGGGAATGGGATGGAGAAAGATTGGGCGAATCTGGCGCTCACTCGGTTAGGTGCTGGGCCCAGACGAGCCCCGGGCACGCCCGGTGCGGCCCGCTGGGATCCAGACCCATATCGCTTCCTTGCCGGGAGAGAACCGGCCACTGTCCCTCACCTCATGGCCCCTGCGGAGGCCCTCCTTCTGAGAAGGAAGATGGGCACCAGAAAGGGAGACTGAAGTTGGGGTGGGACCCGGAGCGGCGGTGCAGGAGCCGCTACCTCCACAGCGGAGACACACATCACACAAAACACACCACCACACACTCTCCATCCCCACACACAAACACACAGTGTGAGCCACCGAGCAGTGGCCGCGGAAACTGGCCCAAGGCCGAGTTTCCAAAGGTGCAGATCTCTCAGTTACACACGTAGGAGTTAATTACGCTTGCTGTTCCCTTTTCACTGAGGAGGTGGACAACCCCGGCCTGCTCTTTCCTTTATTTTCAGGCATAATAGTGACCCTGTAATGAGATGGACAGAGGGGATGGAGGAAAAGAACAATCACCCGCTGATTTAAGCTGTGGGTTTCTAGGGTTATGGTTTGATCGCCTTTCTCGGAAGTATGCCTTTCCTAATTAGGCTACTACCAGTTTATCGCAAGCCAGATAAATTTAAGTGGCTTAGTAGTCTAGTGTGACTCATTACTGTGTATTGATACAGTATTGAACTCAGGTTACAGCTCTCCTTTTCTGGCCCCGCTACCCTCATAAATTCCAGGTCTTTTGCATTAAGGAGAAGAAACAAATAATCTCCCCAGGGCACCCCGCTTCCCCCCAACCCCCGTCATAGCAAGACAAGTGACTTTAACATGGGAGCTGATTATATTGTCTTGTTTAGAACGCTTTTTAAATGTTATTTTCTATTCTGACTCCGTTAAGTCTTATCCCTGAAAGTATTTAATATGAGAAAATACAGAAGATTAATAGCACATGAAAGCAAATAATATGACCTACTAACATGTTTAATGTGAATTGTAGTGGGATCAAAAAAAATATTGAAAAAGTGTAATGTTCAGAATTTCTTTTTTAAAAATATGGAGAGTTGTTATTGGCAGAAATGAAGCCCCCCACCCCTGTTTATTAAAAGCAGTAAAATAGCTTATGAAACAGTGTAAAAACATCTAGCACTTGTCTGGAATATTTTTTTTTCCTGACAAAAAAAAAATTACCTGAGAAACTGTCAAGTAAAATTATGTAAAAATTTAGAAGTAATTTGAGGAAAAGCAAAAATACAGATCCTAAAGAATCTTCTGTATTCCTGACTTTAAAGAGTGGAGGAGATGTGTTTAATGTGCTGCCAGAATATACTTTAAATGTTAGCATAAAGACACTGTAATCTTCCTGCCACCTTTCAGTTGAGAGTAGTTAACTCTGTATTATGAATATTCATGTTTCCATTTTAGGGTGTTTGGGGATTATAAAATTACTTTGCTTGCGGAGCAATTGGTGGGTACACCTGTAATACCAGCAGATCAGGAGGCTGAGGCAGGAGAATGGGGAGTTCAAAACCAGCCTCAGCAAAAAGCAAGGCGCTAAGCAACTCAGTGAGACCCTGTCTCAAAATAAAATACAGGATAGGGCTGGGGATGTGGCTCAGTGGTCTAGTGCCCCTGAGTACAAAAGAAAAAATTACCTTGCTTTAGTATCAGAAAAATTATTATTGTTTTTGTTGGTAACTTAGAATAACTACTATCCCTGAATTTCTACATCATTAGCCTCATTTCCTTTACAAAAAAGTAGTGCTGTTGCATCTAAGCTATATTTGGAATATCTTTTTTTTAATATTTATTTTTTAGTTATGGGTGGACACAGTGTCTTTATTTTACTTTAGTGGTGCTGAGGATTGAACCCAGTGCCCCACGCATGCTGTGTGAGCGCTCTATCTGTGAGCCACAACCCCAGCCCTGGAATGTCACATGTTTTTAATGCAGTTGTGCTAAGTAATCATAGTTAAAACATTTCATACTTCGGATATTTTTAAATTGATAATTTTGTTGCAAGTAGTCACTTTTTAAAGAACACTGTCATGTTTGTCCTATGGACAAACCAAGAGAGTATTCAGAATTTTTATTCCTATTGAGTAATCCATTACGTTGGAAATATAAACACTTCATTTTTTTTTTTTAATCTTTTGTTAGTGCAAGGGATTGAACCCAGAGCCTCACCATGCTAAGCATGTGCTTTACTAGTGAGCTACACTCCTAGCCCCAGAAGTATGTGGGGTTTTATGAGCAGATTACTTCTGTAGTTAATGTGTGTCTGAGAGAGAAGCTACTTACTTGAACTACCTGTTTTCACTTTAAAGAGGAGTTACACTTTGGATAGATTTTTTTTCCTCCTCTTTTTGGTTAAATTTTTATAGCTTTTTAAGATAAATACAATTTTAAAGAAGAGCTATATTTACATAATCTTAGCCATCTCAGTCTTTCAAAGATTATGCTAAGGGCTTGGGTGGTAGCTTAGTGGTATRGCACTTACCTAGCAAGTGTGAAGCACTGGGTTCAATCCTCTGGACCAATTTAAAAAAAATAAATAAAATAAAGGTATTTTGTCTATCTACAAGTAAAAATATTTTTAAAAGATTATGCTAAGAACTTCTTCAGTGAAATTGACATTTACTGTGCCAAACACTTAATAGGGTCTTGAATACATTCTCATATAAATGGCACACCAGTCCTATCACAGAATAACTGTGTGCCCTTTTTTGGATAAGGAAGCCGACAGAATGCAAATGGGTCTTGAGGGGTACCATTATAGACTCACTTTCTTATTGGGTAATTTTTTCAAAACAAAGTACCCTTGTGCTCTAAGGCATACCCCACCTATTCAGTGAAAAAGGAAAAAGAAAAAACTATTAGCATAATGTGCAATTTGATTTCACATTAATTAATCTATGCATCTTGTTTGCTCAAAATGAATACAAATTAAACAAAATCCCTTTTATTAAAATGTTCTTTAATAAAGAATTATAGTTTGTATTTTATCCATGTTTATGTTATAAATTGATACATGATTTCTTATTTTAAAAATATTGATTATGTGTTCATTTTTAAACTACAATTCACTTTACTAAAAATCTTCACATTTAGTAATTATTGGTCATCTAAACTTTTGTTTCCCACAGACCCAAAATACAAGATGTCTCATTTTAAATAATGGTAATGGATTTGGCTCTCATGTTTTCCCATCCTAGTCCATTGTTGATTCCTTTTGTTTTATTTTCTAAGTGCTTTGTGTGCTTTGCCACATAATTGTTAAGAGCATTATATAAAGATAAAATAGAAGCTCAATCCATGTGACACATTGAGCCCTTAGAAGCTAAGAAATGAAGCTGAGTACAGTGGTGTGATCCTGTAATCCCAGGCATTGGGGAGGCTGAGGCAGGAAGATTATAGGTCAAGGCCAGCCTTAGCAACTTGGGGAGACCCTGTTCGAAATAAAAATAAGAAAGGCTGTGGGTGTAGCTCAGTGGTAGAGTGCATGGGTTAAATCCCCAGTACCACAAAAAATAAGTAAATAAAAATAAAGGTAGGAGGGGCTGGGATTGTGGCTCAGCGGTAGAGCACTTGCCTCACTGTGTGAGGCACTGGGTTCAATCCACAGTACCACATAAAAATAAATAAATAAAGTAGAGGTATTGTGTCCATCTACAACTAAAAATAAAAAAGGAGAGCTGATCGTGTACCCTCCTTCCTTCATTTCTTTCTCCCCTCATCTAGTCATCTTCTGATCTGAAGATGTTCTCATAGTTTTTACAGTGGCTTTAAAAAAAAAACAAAAACACTTCTTGAGTTTGGGAAGGCCAATTTATTTATTATGTACAGAAATAAATTGCTTGATCTGGACTCAGTCACGTGTAGGAAAAAACCTAATAAACATAGTGTGGAATGGAGGTGTAGTTCAGTGGTAGAGTGCTTGCCTATCATATTTGAAATACCACAAAAATAAACAAGAAGGGGGTGCAGTGGCCATGCCTATAACTTTAGTGGCTTGGGCCCTACAAATTCAAGACCAGCCTCAGCAATTTAGCAAGGCCCTAAGCAATTTAGTGAGACCCTGTCTCAAAATGAAAAATTAAAAGGGTTAGGGATGTAGCTCAGTGGTAAAGCACCCCTGGTTTCAATCCCTGTACCAAAAACATAACAGTATGTGTTTGATCTTTTGTGTGGACCTGTGATATGGATGGTCTAGTGTGCCTCTTCAGATGAGAACAGAATGTGAATGGGATTATGTTGTTACCAGTTGATTATGAAATGAATAGTAGAATAGTTCTCCATGCTACCTTTTTCTGAAGCAATCTCCATGGAAATCTCTAGAAAGATTTCTTCTAATGGGATTGGACAGTATTGTAGTCCATTTATTACACATCCAATTTCAGCTAGCTGACACATTTAACATTATAATAAGAATCTTTTCCCTTTTTCTTATTTATACTTTAAATTTTCCAAGTTGCCTGTTCTAAGATTATTTTTAGAAAAGGAAACTAAAAGAAAAGATAGGCTGTAAAAGAATTGGAAATCTTAACTAATTATGGCCTTTGGGTCATGATTCAAAAAGAAGAGTTACACTACAGTCAGTCTAAAGCGTTCTTTATGCTCTTTATTTTAATGTTTTCCAATTTTGTTTGCACACAATTTGTGCCTTTATAGGCTGTAATATGTAAAGCCAATGGGTTTTCTGTATGTTTAAATATGTATAGCCAGATTTCCAATTTTAACTATGCATCATCACAGTTTTGCTTGAGTTTTATTATGAAATATCATACTTAAAACTAACGTAAGGTAAAATTAGTATAAATGCTTTTAGTTGTAAACATAGAATGAAAAACTTAATACTTACATCATACTATTTTTAGAGATTCTATATTTATTAAAAAGTTCTACTTCTCACAATAAAAAAAAGTTCTACTTTTCAGCTATTGAATAACAGTCTTTAACTCTTTAGATGCTTTTGTAATTTCACATATAAATAAGTGAATGGCACTTAAAACAGTATTCCAACACTATATTTCCCTTTTAGATAAATCCCAAGCTTAATCCTGCTTAACTACTCCTCCCTACATTGTCACTACAACTTTCACCCTTTGCCCAAAGAGAATAAATTTCCTTTTATTTTTTTTGTCTAAATAAAATCAAAGTTTCTATTCAAAGTGCTATCATTCCAAAACTATACAGATCTAGATCTGTAACTTCAATTCTTTCTATCTTTTGSTCATTGGTCTGTTAATGTTTGGTTCCCCCACCTCCTGCCTACCCCATTCTAACTTTTTGTCCCATTTTCTTTAGACTGTGCCCCAAAGCATCTTCTCTTTACTCACAAGTGAACTCTTTATCCAATGTAACAATACATTCTATGGGGTGAATTGGCATATTAGAGAGAGAAAATAAAATTTTTGATGGTGATGATGAATTGATGAATGATGTCTTACATCCCTGTTGATGTCTTACATCCCCGTTTGGTTTGGGTTGTTGTTGTTTTTGTACCAGCGATTGAATCACATCCCCAGCCCTTTTTACTTTTTATTTTGAGACAGTTGCGGAGTTGCTTCAGGCTTCACTAAGTTGCTGAGGCTGACTTTGAACTTGTGGTCCTCCTGCTTCATTCTCCCACCTGCTGGGCTTACAGGCATGGACCACCATGCCCTGCGTCATAATTAGTCTTCTTATGTAAGAGATCTAAGATATTCTAGATGCAAACTCACAATTGACTGAATACAAATACAAGCAAAATTACTAAAAGACAACATACTTCCAAACCTATATATGTATGCTTTCTACTGTTTGAAGTTATTAGCTCATCTTTGATGAGAAAATGTAATGTGTAAACCAAGACTTGTATTAGTGCTTACAGGTAGCTTAAAACAGATGATAACCATGCTTTCAGAGGAGAATTAAATTACTCAAGAGGAGTTGACTAGACTTTTTGAAGTTCTTTTTCAACTCCTAAGATTGTGTGAGATGTACATGAAGAACACATCAAAAATATAACTAGGCTGTGTTAATACTGAAGTTTGGATAATAATGGTCCTTTACATGACAAGATACTTTGTGTGACTCATACACATTATTGAGAATGTTAGAATTTATTAGCCAAATGTATTATCTTGCCACATGACTGATTCCTCACAGATTAGTTTGCAAAAAATAATTTATAGATCTTGATTTCTAAAAAGCAGAATTCCACAAATAACTATATTATTGTATGATGTCTGTGGTAGTATTTAGTTGAAGGGTCTTTACTTTTTTGTGAACTCTATGTTTATAATTTTAAATTGCTCTGTATTTTATGCTAGTTAATTCATGGGAGCCTCTTCTACTGCCACACAATCTCAGTTCCTGCTATATACTCTAACAAACAGTGGAAGAGACTGTTGGGTCAGTAGGTGACAACTGCAGAGGTATCTTCCTTATAACGATGCTTTTTGAGGTTGCTGCTCCCATCAATCTGCTCAGTAAAAATAGCTCATCTTGGTAAGTTGTTTCGACTTCACCAGGACCTGAAGAAGAAGCAGAAAAACCTGTGAAAACTAAGACTGTTTCTTCCAGTAATGGAGGGGAAAGTTCCAGTCGCAGCGCTGAGAAGCGATCAGCTGAAGAAGAAGCTGCAGACCTCCCAACAAAGCCTACAAAGATCTCCAAGTTTGGATTTGCCATAGGTAGTCAGACAACAAAGAAAGCATCAGCCATATCCATCAAACTTGGATCAAGTGTAAGTTACTTTATGTATGATATTTGTAATGGGTATTAAGGATTTGTTTTGGAAACCTGCTTTTACTAGGTTATGGTAAATTAAGTATAAAAAGTTGCATTTCTCCGGGCTGGGATTGTGGCTCAGTGGTGGAGTGCTCACCTAGCACATGTGAGTCATTGGGTTGGATCCTCAGTACCACATAAAGATAAGTAAATAAAGGTATTGTGTTCATCTACAACTAAAAGAAGTTTTTTAAAAGATGCATTTCTTAATCTTTCATGTATTAACTTATATGTATTTAAGAAGTGATTAGCACTCTTTAGGGAAGATCAAGATGAATTATCTCAATAAAATCAGTTTTTAACAAAGATGTAGGATTTTAGAAGGAACAATATTATAGAAAATGCATGATTTATAAAGTAGTGAGTTTGTATCAGTTAAGACCTCTGAAAGATATTTTGAGAAAGAATTTCAGTTTTTTTTTTTTTTTTTTAATCTTTCAGTTTCAGTAACAATATCTATGGACTAGGGGATAGCCCAGTGGTAGAGCATGTGGTTAGCATTTGGAAGGCTTTTGCTTTTATCCTTGGTACAACATAAAAAAGTAATATCTCCAGAAATCAGTTATTTGTATCTTAAAAGATTAGTTTTAGTAAGATATTGCTTGATAAGAAAAGCTTTCTGATTATCTTTGAAACTAAAACTGGACTTTGAGTACTATGTACTTTAAAGCAATTATCTTTTAAAGATCAATGTTCGATCCCTTGTTTTTAAGATATAAACCTCAAATTAATATTTTTTTAACCATGGAACCTATGGAAAATGAATGAAACTATGGAAATGAATGAAATTGACCTGGGAAGTACAAAGAATGAAAGGTTGCTACCAGTAGTAGAATCCTAGGTATCTGTATTGTTAAGTGAGGAGCAGCAGGGAAGGGGGAGAGAAAACAATAGGTCAGAGAATTAGCAGACTAACCAATTAAAAAAATATATATATTGTTCCAGAAGACATGGGAGAGATGTTTTCAAAAAGAAGCTGGTGATTAGAATCAAATGTAGCACACCAGTTATTGGTGACCTCATAAAGAATAATTCTAGGGCGATGGTAGATGGTTAGGGTGGGAGCTAGATTGTAGTAGGGTAAAGACTAAATGGATGGTGAGAGAATGGAGATAGAATAGTTTATTTTGTTAAAAATTTAGGTCATATAGAAATGATCACTTGTCTGAAGCCCAAAGGGTAAAAAGGATAGATGTAGAGTTTTAGTAAAAAGGGTAGAGGAATATGAGTCATGATGCCTTGTATGTTCTCAAGGCACTTTTAAACTAATTCTTACTATGAGAACATATTATTTATCATTTTGTATCAAATACCCTTTGGCTTAAGTAATATTAAGTTATAGATCCTAGCTGGAGAATTATTTTTTCTAATAGGTAAACAAATGGATATARTAAATAACAAAGTTAAACCTACCCACAGATAACCTGCATTTTCAGACATAGTGCAAATACTAGGTTCCTTACTATATAAATTTATGAAAACAAAGTTGAATTTTTCAAGATTTATATCAAACAGTTCTGTACAAATGTGACTCATCTAGTGTTCTTTTTAAYGTTTCTTCTTCAGAAGCCTAAAGAAACTGTTCCAACTCTTGCTCCAAAAACCCTTTCAGTAGCAGCAGCTTTTAATGAAGATGAAGATGTAAGTTAATATCTCTTATTTTACTTTAACCAGTTCTTTTAGGAGAGTGTTAATGACAAATTATAGGTTATATTAATGGTGTTTCTAAATTGTAGCACCTACAAAAACTGGATATTTCTATTTTGTATTTATTTTGTTTGGTTGTAGGATTATTTAAAAATGTTAAGTTTGGGGGCAAGAAACCTGAGAACCAAAACAACAAATGCTTATTATGAATATATGTGCTAGGAAATAGGTAGGATATAGTTGGGGTCTTCAGTGATGATGTATTGTGCTTTCAGGTTACAGAAGGCAGCTGTAGTAACATGCTTTCCATAGGAGATGGAAATAATACAGGTGATTCTGCCAGCACTTCTCAGTAGGCACAGAGTGAGCTTGAGATGCTTATTAGATTGATCAGTTCCAGTTCTCTCATGCCTGTCTTACCATGCTTATGGATAACCAGTGGAGTTTTCAAACACGATTTGATTATGATCTATATTAGGCTGTGACTTGAAAATCTAATCCCCATATAAGATGAGAACCCTGTATATGGAACAATCAAGTATTATACAATATATAAGTAATTGTTTCCAAAAGCTACAAGGATAAACATCATATTATTCAAGCTGAACATGGGAGCATACACTTGTAATCCCAGCTATTCAAGAGGTGATGCAGGAAAATCTCAACATAAAATAAAAAGGGATAGGATATATCTTAGTGGTAGAGTGCTTGTCTGATATTTTCAAGGCTCTGGTTTCAATCCCCGGCACCTGGGCAGGTAGGGGTAGGGATTATACATTCAGAGGGGCCCAAACACTGGGAATAGAGTGATTTCAGAAGAATATATATAAAAGAAGTAATACAAATTTTATATTAAAACATTAGAGTCAGGGTTTCAGTAAATCAAGGAAGACTTATAAACTGAGACATCAGTTTTCAAGTCACAGGTAGCAAATAGCACCATTTGGAGAGTTGTTATTTTGTTTTTGATATTTTTTAGTTGACGTACCTTTAGTTTTTATTTATATGTGTTGCTGAGGATCGAACCCAGTGCCTCAGTGGCAAGTGTTCTGCCACTGAGCCACAACCCCAGCCTCTGGAGAGTTTTGTTAGAGGAGTATTGGACAAGGATAAATGTGGAACCATTGGAGCCTGAATCAATAGGGAAAGAATCACTGTGGTTATTACTGTGTTCTCCTTTACTCATTTACACATTTGATTGCTTTGTATGTACTAGGCACTATGACATTACAAGACATCAGACATGTTCCTCTAGGAACTAGTCTAGTAGAAGGAGACTTACATGTAAATTAGTGAGAGATAAAAATGAAAAATACCTGAAGAGGTGAAGTACTGTGGACATTCAGAAAAGAAATAAACAGGTACTGGATGTAGCAGCATAGAAAGACACCTGGACTAGCAATTGAAAGACCTGAATTGTAACCATGTCTTGACTAGTTATTAACCAGTAGAAACCTGAATAAATCATTTTTATTTTTCTGGAGCCTTAGTTTTCTCAACTATAAAACAAAGACTGTAACTTGCCAGGCAAGGTAGTGTACACCTGTAATCCCAGAGGCTCAGGAGGCTGAGGCAGGAGGATCGCAAGTTCCAAGCCAGCCTCAGCAACTTAGCAAGTCCCTAAGCAATTCAGTTAGACCCTATCTTTAAGTAAAATATAAAAAAGGGCTGGGGAAGTAGCTCAGGGGGTTCAATCCCCAGTACCAAACAAACAAAACAAAAACAAAGGCTGCATACATTCTAGGGAAGAACCTGGGGTCCTGCCCATGCTAAGTACATCTTCTAACACTAAGCTATACTCCTAGCAGACTGTTTTGGTGGGGAGAGTTTGTTTTTTTGAGATAGTGTCTCACTATGTTGCCCAGGCTGATATCTTTCCTTGTTTCTCCTGAGTTTTGAGATTCCAGGGATGCATGGTCTCAATTTAGTTGATAGATTTTTTAAAATATTATTTTTAAAGTTGATAGAACTTTATTTTTATTTTTTTATGTGCAATCCTGAGAGTCGAACCCAGTGCCTCACATATGCTAAGCAAGTGCTCCACCACTGAGCCACAACCCCAGCCCCTAGTTCCTAAATTATTAAAAACTACTCAAGAGTTCTTGGATCCTATGGCAGTTATAGTGGTATGGGAATCTGATGTTTAACAAGGAGGACTCTGGTGTTTTGCCCTTATTTCACTTATAAGTTGTACCTCTATCTGATATTTGGAAACCCAAGTAATTTATTGAGGGGGAAAAAAAGTATTCTGTTGCCCAGAAGAAAAAAAAAATTAAAAACAAAAAACGCTAATCTAAATAATATCTGTAACATTCTTAAAGAGAGTAGGTAGCAGATTATAGCATGGAAAATGATATAGGAAGAAGGAAAAATGTGAAGTACATAGGCTGGAAGCACCTGCATTATATAATAAAACCTTACCTTGAATGCCTAACTATTTGATTATCTTTTAACATTGTTTTACATTCTATATGTCCCTGTGGATTGTACATGTATTCATATTTTACAAATGGAGAAATTAACCATTCATGATTATATGGTAATTCATACACATTTTGAACCTTAGGTTTTCTGGTTTCTTGTCCTATAGTCTTTGCATCATACTTTAATGTCTTTCATTCATATATTTATATATTTTTTGGGCGGGGGATGATATTGGGGATCGAACCCAGGGCCTTGTGCATGTGAGGCAAGCACTGCAYCAGTCCCCAGTCCATGTCTTCCCTGTTTTAAAAAAAGTTTTAGAGAGATTCAAACAATATTCTTTCTGCTACAATACTATAATGGTAGTAAACAATAGAGGGCTGAGGTTGTGGCTCAGTGATAGAACATTTACCTAGTATGTGTGAGGCACTGGGTTCAATTCTCAGCACTTCACATATAAATAAATAAAATAAAGGTCCATGAACAATTAAAAAATGTGTTTTTWAAAATTGTCTCAAATATCTAAAATCCTTATCTACTTAATTTTTAAAAAAATATTTATTTGGGCTGGGGATGTGGCTCAAGCGGTAGCGCGCTCGCCTGGCATGCGTGCGGCCCGGGTTCGATCCTCAGCACCACATACCAACAAAGATGTTGTGTCCGCCGAGAACTAAAAAATAAATATTAAAAAAAAATTAAAAAAAAATATTTATTTTTTAGTTGTAGTTGGACACAATACCTTTATTTTTATGTGGTACTGAGGTCAAACCCAGGGCCTCTCACATGCTAGGCGAGCGCTCTACCACTGAGCCACAACCCCAGCCCTATCCACTTAATTTTTTATTCAAGAACATAATTAAGTAACAAAATATATTGTTCAAATATATTGACCTAAGTAGATAACAGTTAATTTGGGCTTTGGGAGCAAGTTGTTGCGTGGATTGAAATCAGGACCTCACACATTCTACCACTGAATTATTTCCTAACCCCAGAGTTTTGACATTTCAAAAAAAATTTTTTTTCAGTTGTCTCCTTTAATTTGGATAATTTCCCCAATCTTTCTGTGTATTTCATGACAGTAACATTTTTGAAGAATACTGGACAGTTATTTTCTACAGTGTCTCTCATTTTGGATTTGTCTGGTGTTGTTTTCGTGCTTGGATTCTCATTGCTTTTGGCAGGAATACCACTGAAGTTGTGCCAAGTTCTCAATGCATCATACTAGGGAGCACATGCTGTCAATATGCCCATTCCTGCAGTGTTAACTTTGATCATTTAGTTAAAATGGTGCCTGCCAGATTTCTCCACTGTCAAATTTTTGTAAAGCTAAATTAAAATTTATCTTATATGCTTTGAGAATATGTAAAAATATATAATTTCTCAAAACTTCACTCACTAATGTTAACATCCATTAGTGATTCTTATCAGGATTAGTTATGATAATGTATGCCAAATGGTGATATAATATATGCCACCATGCCTTGTGTATTTATTAACTGTSTGTTACTAAATGAAAGAGCTGTTTTTAATATCTGTGTATGTTTTTACACATATATTCCTAGGTATGCTTATATTCATTCATATATATACACACACACACACACACACCATTGGTAATCAAAATCATAAATTTTYATACATATTCAGTTACATATTTATAACCTATGTGTAAATCAAATCGTGAACATCCATTTCAACACCAAACCCAACTATATACAAATTGAGATAATAAATATTTTAATATATATTTTACATATATATCCACATTGTGTTTATATATATGGACATAAACATTCAAACCCTAACTCTAATCTTAATCTTTTTTCACAAATAATCCTGACTCTACCACTATGGCTCAACAGAAACCTCTAGACATATAGACCAGATTACTTTACATGAATGTACCTGTATATTTGGAGATATAAATTTTAAAAGTCACATAAAAATCCATAAATATTTTACCTATATATCCATTTCCATAGGCAAACCCAGATTTAACACTTGCTTAAAAATACTATGTAACTTTAAAATAGCCATAGATGAAAGTATATATTTATAAAATTTTGTATATAATTTTAATTCTATATTAATATGTATTTACATAAATATTGATATGTATTCCAGTGGTAGACCCTCATTCTCAACCTAACTCAGGACTAAACCTAACCCTTCCCATAATCATTAGTCTTCTATACAAAAATCATAATTATGACTTTGAATACCCATATATATTTTTACATATATATTCCTTCATRTGTTTATAAATATATATTTATGTACCCTAATGCTAAACAAAATCTTACCCATAAATTTTCATATATATTCAGTTACATATTCATAAAATACATCTAAACAACAATGTAAACATCCATCTGAAAATTAACTATATACAAATCCCTGTATATTTAGTATTTTCAGGTACGTTTTTACATAAATATTTATATTATATTCATATATTTGGATAATAATGTTCAAAACCTAAAATAATGCTATGCCTCACCGAAACCTCTATACATATAACCATAACAATTTACATGAATGTACCTATATACTGTGGAATATAGATTCATAAATACTGTTACATATAAACAGTGACACTTCATGAATATTTCTGTATATTGTGAAGTATGTATTTATATATTCACATAAATCCATATATATTTTCATATATGTTCATTTCTGCAGGCTTACCCTATCTTTAACACAAAACCTAACAATTCCCCTTACCATAACCTAATTAAAGATAAAAGCACATATATTTCATGTGATTTTACTTATGTATTTATATTCAGATATATTTACATACATTTTTAGTCCATAACCCTAACCACAATGCTAGTTTATAACTCTGAATTAAAACTGTGTATATCAATTACTTGGAATATCCATATATTTTTTACATACGTATTTATATACATCATTATAAACATTTGTATGTGCATATGTGACTAATGTTAACCATAATCCTATTGCTACAAGAAACCCAAATCTTCTAAACCAGACTGTAACACAAATGAAAACACTAAACATACTGCTGTATATTTATAAATTWATTATTTATGAAAGAGCTATTCTTATCACTTTTAAATTTTAAAATTTTATCATATAAGTATAACTCATATATTTTTATCTTATTCAGTAAAGTATAATTCTCAAATATACCAGATTTGATCAGTGAAAGCCCCCTTAAGTTGTTTTTTTTTTTTTTTTTTTGTGTGTGTGTGTGTGTGTGTGTGTGTTTTGTCATTGGATGGGTTTTTTGTTTTTGTTTTTAAAGGCAGTGTCTGTCTAAGTTGCTGAGGCTGGCCTCCAACTTGCTGTTTTCCTGCCTTAACCTCTCCAGTTGCTGGGGTTATAGGCAGGCACCTCTGTGCCCAGCTTAAGCTAAGTCTTGCAGATAGCATTTTTAAAAATAATATTTAGGGCTGGGGTTGTGGCTCAGTGCACTTGCAAAGCGTGTGCGAGGCCCTGGGTTCGATCCTCAGCACCACATTAAAAAAAATAAACAAAAATAAAGATATTGTGTCTAACAGCAACTAAAAAATAAATATTAAAAATAAAAATGGAAGCTGTGGCTGCACAGGGCAAGGCAAAGAAATAAAGGCAAGATCGCAGACTACTGTACCAAGGAAGACCCTACCCATCCATTCCTTTGTACCTCTCTCCTGCATCACCATACTGACCACATCTGTGGGCATCTTAAGTTGTAGCTGGAGATGGGGACCAGTAGCTCCCACTTTAATTTTAGCATTTTGTCTCCTGCACCCACTCCCTTTGTAGATTGTAATCAGAATAGAAACTCTGGGGTACAGGTTCTCAATCTAAGCCCAGGGAAGGTTCCTCATATCCAAAAGAGTTGAGGTAGTAGTTGTTGGTTTTTTCTTGAGAAGGGTAGGGAGGAATTGTGCCAAGGCATGACCAATGAGAAGAAGCCAGAGAGCCTGTTTGTGTTTCTAAGAGCCAGTTCTGTACTCTTCTGAATTCAGGTCACTGGGAAGATGGGTAGCAGGGGGCTCTAGTCATTCCAGTGGAATACAGAAGTAACCTGCATGGTGATTTAAGAAAGACAACTCCCGGGCTGGGGATGTGGCTCAAGCGGTAGTGCGCTCGCCTGGCATGCGTGCGGCCCGGGTTCAATCCTCAGCACCACATATCAACAAAGATGTTGTGTCCGCCGAGAACTAAAAAATAAAAATATTAAAAATTCATTCTCTCTCTCTCTCTTAAAAAAAAAAAAAAAAAAAGGAGGACAACTCCCTGACCCCAGAGGAGCTGGCTCCAGAATGTTGGGATCAACCCTAACTTTTGTTACATTTATTTTCACTAAAGAAAAAAAGAAAAAAAAAAAAAAATATATATATATATATATACACACACACACTAAACAAAACCCTTCTGGGTTTTTTCTAGTGGTGGTTAGTCCCACATGTGGTCACCAGAAACTAAGCCATTCCTCACACCAATATGGGATAAGCTCCTTGGCCTGTAAGGTGCAGGAGTGTATCTTGCTATGTATCTTAGAATCTCTCCTCTGCCTTGTTTTGTGGCAGTGAAATGCCTCTTGATCATGTCCAAGCGTGTCTTTTACTGTATCTGATTTCTGAGTCTTGTTCCAGTTGCTTGGCCCTGCCCCAAAGGCCCAGTACTCATTTAGCATAACTGTAATAAATCTTTTTTCCAGATCAGTATAATAAAGGAGTGATGTGCAATAAAAAAAAGATATTSTGTCTAACAGCAACTAAAAAATAAATATTAAAAGTAAAAATAATAATAATATTTAGGCATGCCTGGTGGCACACATCTGTAATCCAGCTACTCAGGAGGCTGAGGCAAGAGAGTAGCTAGTTCAAAGCCACTCTTGGTAGGGTTAGGGTTGTGGCTCAGTGGTAGAACATTGCCTGGCACGTGTGACGCACTGGGTTCAATCCTCAGCACCACATGAAAATAAAACAAAGGTATTGTGTCCATCTACAACTAAAAAAGTCCGTCTTAGCAATTTATTGAGACCCTGTCTTAAAATAAGAAAGGATAAGAGTGTATCTCAGTAGTGGAGCTTTTGACTAGCATGTGCTAACTCCTATTTCAATCCCCAGTAGCACAAAAAAAAAATATTATTATTACTAAGCTAAGCAGTAGCTTTTATACTTAAAACYATAAGTCTGAAAAGAACTCAATCTCACAATTTTCAGTAGCTGAAAGTATAGAAAGTAATAAGGACTGAGTTTTCAAAATGTCCTTAGAATAAAAGAGGTACTTTTGAGAAAGAACAGTACAGTAAAGGAGTTAAGGATCTTTGCTTTGGCATTAGACTGACTAGTTTGCTAATCATTAACTTTGTGATCTTGGGCAAATAACCTTGTCATTTAACCTATAAAATGCAAATGATTATAATCATACTGCACATGGGACTGTATTGTTAGAATTTTAAATTAAGATAGTGTAGATAAAAGCATTAAACACATAGTATAGTACATAAATCATTAATGATTTTATTTCTATAATATGGGCTTTTTAAGTTTAATTCTTGAATTTACAACAGTTGTACATATTTATATGGTACAGTGTACATATTTATAGGGTACAGTGTAGCATTTCAGTACATGTATACAGTGTAATGATCAGATTAGGTTGATATGGCTTATCCATTACCCCAGACATTTGTCTTTTGTGTGTGTGTGTGGTGCTGGTGATTGAACCCAGGTCCTTTGCTAAGTTACTTATCTGAGTCCAGAAGCACAAACCTGTAATCTAAGCAACTTGGGAGCCTGGGGCAGGAAGATTGCAAATTAAAACCAGCCTTAGCAATGTAGCAAGACCAGAAGCAACTTAATAACTGTGTCAAAATCAAAAGGTTTGGGGTTCTAGCTCATTGGTTAAGCCCCTCTGGGTTCAATCCCTGGTACCAAAAAAAAAAAAAGATGGTCTGGGGTTGTGGTTCAGCAGTTGAGCGCTCGCCTAGCACATGCGAGACCCTGGGTTCAATCCTCAGCACCACATAAAAAATAAACAAACAAAATTTGTTGTGTACAACTAAAAAATATTAAAAAAAAAGTTATTCATCCTACAAACCTGTCAAACCAAACCCCTATACTGTTATCATCCCTCTGCTTTCCTGACCTCTGGTAACTACTGTTGTACTTTATATTTCTGTGGCATCAGCTTCCTCACCATCTACATATGGGTGAGAACATGCTRTATATGTCCTTCTCTGCATGATTTATTTCACTTAATGTCCACCACCCTAATCCATTTTGCTGCAAATAACAGTATTTAATTCTTTTATTTGTTTTGGTTTAACAATATTCATTGTGAATTATGTGCCATTCTCTAACCATTTGTCAGTGGACATCTAGGTTAACTTCATATTAGTCATAGCTATTTTGAATAGTGCAGCAATAAACATGGGAATATAGATATCTCTTTTGTCATACTGATTKTCTTTCCTTTAGATATATACTTACTAGTGGAAGTGTTTGACCATATGGTAGTTTTATTTTTAGTTATTAGGTTTTGTTTAGGTTTGTTTTGTAATTGGGATTGATCCTAGGGATACTCTACCACTGAGCTGTATCCCCAGACCTTTTTACCTTTTATTTTGAGAAAGGATCTCATAAAGTTGCCAAAGCAGGCCTTGAACTTGTAGTATTCCTGCCTCAACCTYTTGAGTAGCTGACATTACAGGCTCCTGCCAGGGTACCTGGTTATTTTTAGTTTTGGGGGGAACCTGTATTCCATAATGACTATTGTAATTTACRTTTTCACCAATATAGGAGACTTCCCCTTTCTATGTCTTTGTCAACATTTTTTAAATCTTTTTGATAAAAGCCATAAAATGAGATTTTGAAACTATGATTAAAGAAAATTTAATTCACATAATTAAACATAAGAGCACAGATTGGTGTTTCATTTCATGTATACAATGTGTTGAATGAGATTTTTACCACATTTTTTTCTTTACTCAAAATCAGCACTCTGGAAAGTACCTTTCTATTAAAACTGTGGTTAAGTCAAATAATTCACTAATTTTCTTCTTTTATAGAAATTTGTAGCCTTTGAAATGTTTTAAAAGATTTAGATGTAAAATTTAGCATGATATTTATCTCAGTTTACTCATTTTTTTCTTCAGAGTGAACCAGAGGAAATGCCTCCAGAAGCAAAGATGAGGATGAAGAATATTGGAAGGTAGTATAGTTTTTTGTAACTATTACAGAAATAGAGGGATGATGGGGATGGAGTTGTGGCTCAGTGGCAGAACACTCACCTAGCATGTGTGAGGCCCTGGGTTCATTTCTCAGCACCACATAAAAATAAATAAATAGGGCTATTTAAAAGAAAATAAAATTAGAGGGTTGAGTTAAGAGTAAGAATAAATTGCATAATTCTGTGAAATGCCTCTCCACAGTACATATGTCACACTTTTTTGTCTGCACATGGCCCTCTTCTTCAAAGAAGGGTCCCTGCCCCAACAGCAGG